CATTAGAGATTGAAGACATCCATTAAGCTCTTCTAATGTACACTCTGGCTCCGTGGTGTATGCTGTCACTGAAAAGAAAGACGAAGTTAGACATACCGTTGAAGCACCATAAAAAGATGTGATTTTAAGAATTCATATCAGGCTTGACAAATTTGTTCTTTTTGTGCTATTTTATTGAAAGATATTATTATGCTCGTCAATAGATGTGACAATCTTAATGATATCTTAATGATCCTATATTATCTTAATGATACCTTATCTTAATGATACCTTATCAATCTTAATGATAATATATTGGAAAGAGAATGCACTATTGTTCCGTAGAAGTTTACAAGGATATTCATATATGTTTTTCCTGTGTGTGAGAAGGTGGTTACTGGCCCTGGATCATATTTTTGCTCACTGACAAATTTGTGAATTTAATTAAGATGTCCGTGCCTAAAACAAAATTGCCCTATTATAACTATTACTGAATGATCCAAGAAACGTATTGTTATAATAAGTATATAAATATAATATACGAATTATTATGTTAATATAATCATGTATTAACATAATAATTTTTATTAATTATTCTTACTATACACCGCGTTTATTTGCCTTGTAATTTAATTGCCGTGTATTACAGAATCTTTCCATTTTTTGCCTGCTGTCTGATTGTTTGTGCAGTATCAGGAGCACTTTTGTGCAATAGATTGCATCATAAAAAAGCGAGTAAACCGAGTCACATATTATTGACGGCCTTTAAGAGCTTGCAAATGTGGTAAATTTTAAGTATGTGCTATTGATGTAAAATAGAATTCTGTTTCGGAATTTGCACTATCTGTCTATTATACAAGGTGTTTTTTGTAACTAACAGTACACAGGGCCATCTGCGGCTCGATCTATCAACCGAAGTGCCACCAAATTTCGTCGAGGACTAATAATGACATGGAAAAAAAGGTTCCGTGAGAAAACATTTGTTTCAAAATTCACCAGTGCATGAAAATATAGGGCTGGTCGCATAAAACACATGCCAAACTTCAAAATGCAAATTCACGACTATGTTAAAAAGTTACAATAAATAGACAAATTAATTTCAAGAATGAAATTTCAGTGCAACATGGTACTTTATTAAACGAATTACAATGTGATCACCGTGCTCGCAGACCACACATTGCATCCTGTACATTCACCACTGCCGAACGTAACTTGCTACCAGGGAGTTCGGCTAACCTGGAGTTTAGGGTACATGCTCACATCGTTTCCCTTAAGCTCGCCAATTGTTTGTCGCCAAGAGAGAAAGTGCTAGAACATTTGTTTTGGATGCGAGTTGAAATTTTTTTTCGGCGTCGTTTGCGCATGCTCCCATAGTGATTTGTTTACCGGTCTACGGCGCATGCCCTTAATTTTGCCTCTTTTCCATTGGTCCATTGTCTGCTCACTTCGATTTGATGGTCGGCGTACGAATTTGAATAATACTTCGTTTGTAATTCTTGATCACTTACCAAACGATTTTTTCAATAACCGTTCGCATCTCTTCTGAAGATTTTCGTTCATTGAATTTGCTGATTATGTCTTCCAAATATCGAACAGGGAATGTTTTTTCTACAAACAATGGTTCCTCTGCTATGTTTCATCGTCTTCAGACTTCGTGTTTTTCCTGTATTCGTGCTTTCCCTGAGTGTTTCGTTTCTCAATGAAAAAGCGAAACTACGAGGAGCCCGCTTTGCTGAAAGCGAAGCCTCTGATACTTTTTTAAGTCAAAAAAATTTGCCCGGTGCACACTTCCAATGCCGAAGGCATTGCGTGCTCAATCTCCCGTTTGGAGGTGAGGTAGGCATCTAATGCGCAAGAGACATATAAAAAACTCATTGCGCATCCTAAACAGTATTTGGCGACTGCAAATAAAATTGCGCCAAAGAAAATTGGCGAGAAAATAGTATGCACCCTAAACTCCAGGTTTACCGGAAGTTCATCACAGTCCGTGTTATGTTGCACTTTAAAGTCGTCAAATTAGGGCCCCACCGTGACAGACCTTAGACTTCAAATAATCCACTAGAAAAAAGTCAAGTAGGATTAGATCAGAGGAGTGAGGCGGTAAGCAACTGTAAAAAAAGAGACTGGTGACCTTTGTTCTTTAATGTGATGTCCCAACATCTCTGTACCGATAGACCAATGTGTGGTTGCCCGTCCTGTAATACTAGGAATGTCTTTCGGAGTTTTCTCTTCACCTTTATAGCCCAAATTACCGGCGCTACTGCCGATTACAAGTCGTGAATTTCCATTTTAAAGTTTTGTTCGAGTTTTATGCCACCAGCGTCATAGTTTTACAAATCAGCGAGTTTTGGTACTCATTTTTTTCACCGAAACTTTTTCCCATGTCTTCATTAGTTCCCTTACCAAATTTGGTGGAATTCCGGCTTATAGATAGAGTTATTGTTGACTCAGTGTAGTGTCAGTTATTGAAAACATTTTTTATATCTATCCCAGTCGGAGTAATCAAGCTTTCCCTAAGACAGTCATGCTAAGGATAGTCAACATTGTTTTCGGAGTAATATTGTACCACGCGCTTTCTGCATGAATATCAACTGATTGATCTACACCGTAGGATAATGAATCGTTGTTCACTAATCCATCTTAGACAGATTCAAGTCATATTAATCATGCTATCAATGATCTCCAGAGCCAGACAGACATGGAAGGATGATGAGGGTGATCAATTAGCCTGTTCATAGTAGCATACTTTTATAATGAGGGTTGCAATACCAAGATGCTTCCCGATTGTTGAAATACTTGAAGTAGAACTGACCACTGATCACTATTAATACATAAGTACATGACGCTCTCTACAACCAACTGTTAAAATTAGCAATAATGGTCCAATTTAATCATGAATGAACAATTGTCAGAAACAGTATTTTGCATTATAATGCATTACATTCAGTTTAAATTTAGAGTTTACCAAGTCAAATTTAGAATTACACAACTGTAAAAATTAGGAAAAATTTAGGATTCATACCAAATCAACTATATAGCTTTATGGTATGAATGGCAACATAACGTCAACAATAGGTCTATTAGATTATTTTTAATTAGATTATTTTGTCCAATTTACAATACTAACATGTTCAATGAAAAGCCATGCAAACAGTTTAGATGCATATCTGTCATGTATGCCTAATATGAATTCTAAATTAAATAAATCTACCAAACAGTAAACAATCCAAATCGAAATTGCTCTTAACAAATGTTACCCTCAATGAAAGCAATATTTTATCAACAACTGTAGCTCCAATATTCCTTATGGCTTGAAAATGCCAAGATGCGAGAAAATATTCTGATGACATAAATTGCAGAAAACACATAATCATTAATTAATCTAAAGAGATTTCTTTAATGAAATCACATAATAAGTTAGCAACATTCTGATGTTAAAACTAACGAAACATTGTCCAGATGGCGAGAGAAAACAAAAGCATTTATGAAACGATTATGTAAAACTTTAAAATTAAAAAAAATATTCAAATTGTACAAAACAGTTATGTATGATTTAAAAACGAGATGGATATTCTTTTTTTTTTCGATTGAATAGAACAACGGAAATGAGAAAAGAGGGATTGAAATCAAGACAGGGTGGTTACTAAAACGAATCCGAGCACAAAAAATAATCAATAATCATGGCTTGAGAAGCAGCCCCAGGTGGAAGATTGGTTAAGAAGATAGTTGTTCTTAAAGCAAATACAGTCAGCTATAAACAAGAATAAAACATAATTGAGTCTTCAATAAATCAGAAGGAAAGTAGACACAAGAATACACAAAGAAGAAAAATCGTGCTGTACCAAATCGTTCGACTTTCCTATTGAAGAGCACATACAGTTCCAGACCAAATTAGTTCCCGACAATAAAAAAGAATCAATAGAATCTGGCGAAACTGAATGTAGATCATCAAGCGTTAAAACAAAAGAAACACGAGTATTTCTGAATCTTCAGTTTGTTTTGCGTCTTGTTTCTTATATACTGAATAAAGTAACTGTCTCTAAATTTGGTGAATCAATTTCCTTATACATGAGGCACAATACATTTTAAGGCTATACTTGTGTGTAACTCTGTGATGTTCTCCAAATTGCTCAAAATCTCCGAAGTCTACAAGAATAACACAAATAAAGATAGTTGATAATTTGAAATAAATAGCAAATTAGCCTTAACTCAGCTGTGAATGACAGGTGTTTCATTCGGGAAGGGGGGGGGGCTCAATATTCAGGGAGAAGTTTCACTCCACTGTGAGTAGAAACTTACATTTTCTTAATCATTTTATCATTCTTAAATCCTCAGGAAAGAAACTTCATCCCTTCATTAAGTTTTAGAAATCCTATTTTACTCTCAAAAAATTGAACTGATTGCGTTGATTGAAATTTTATCTTTAAAACGTAAAAAAACCAGAGTTATGTTATTTATGTTTAATGTCTTATGAAGACAGCATTATAGAAGCATAATAGGGTGTTTTTATGCATTGAACCACATTTTAGGAAAACGTTGTCTTATCAAGAATATCCCCAAGTTCTCGTCATCAACTCGAATATCAACAAGAACTGTTGTTCCTCGCATACAGAAAAAAATTCAAAAGCATTTCCTTACTTTCCCATATAACAGTCACAAAGGACTGTTGCTTTGAACCATTTTTGAATCTTTCTTTCCGGAAATAAATTGCACATAAATGAGTTTCTTGCCGATACTTTGTCTTACTCTACGTTCTGAAATAATCTTGAGAATATAAACAAGCTCAGACGAGGAAAGGATTTTACGATCAATTACGATTTCACAGTATAGGACTCGAAGCCTGTATTCATTTGAAAATACTTTTAGAATATACGGACATAAATTCCTTAAAAATTAGTACCTTAAATACTTAAAGGATATCTAAGAAGTAATTTCCATAAGTAAAAATCAAATTCTATTAGCAGGCATTAAAAAACTTTTAGAGGAAAACATCAAATCAACTTATTGTATAAACTGTAGCCAACGGCCATACCATGCTGAAAGCACCGGTTCTCGTCTGATCACCGCAGTTAAGCAGTATCGGGTGCGGTCAGTACCTGGGAAGGTGACCACCTGGAAATACCTCGTGCTGTTGGCATCTTTTTAAATTTTTCAATGACCGGTCTGGTCACGGGTACGGGGGTAAGAGACGGCGTTCTGTTCTGTATAAAACTGTACAAATTAGTCAAAAGGCACAAAATAACAAAAGATGGCTTAAAAGAGGTCAGTTAGTTTACTAATGGATTAAGAAATATATTTTAATAATTCACATTTCTTAGTATTCTTTATTATTATTTATTTACACTCTCATTCGCACTATTTTGTTTACGAATATTTGTCATCTACTTAAGACACCTTTGTTTATTTTAAACACTTTTAAAAGCCTTGTCATAATTAACGAATAACCGTCTTTCCAGTTTACTTGCGTTAGTCAGTGGCGACTGAAAACGCTGCATTCATTAAATTAAAAATAAACGAATAAATAAAGGAATACAAATCTTTATCTTCTGTATATGAATAGCTGTAACTTCTTAAATTGCTGGTCTTAAATCCAAACACAACATCGAAAACTTTCACGCCGTCTTCGTCTTTCTGATTCTTTGTAATTTATATATAAATAAAAATAGACAAGGAAAAACATCTCGACTTAAACAATTTTGTGGAAATTTACTGCATAATTAGTTTAAATTTAATTTATTTTTATTCATCATTAATTATTGTTTATATTTATTATTTATTTTCCAATTTTGAGATTCCAACAAACTTTGACGGATGAAAATAGAATCATGAAAGAAAAAAGATTAAAAGCCCTTATCTAAGCATAAAAGTCAACAACAACTTAATATGTTACTACTACCATTAAATCAAAAAATCCCAGTCTGTTCAAAATATATATCAGATCAAGATGATGGTCCTTTGATATTCTTTGTGCAATTATGCGTATCGAAATTAGAGAAACCTTTCGGGACCATCTCGCGAGTTTCATAACAGAAAATAGAGAAAAAAAATCCTTTTAATTTCTCAAATATTATTTTACTCAATGTACGAATATTAACAAAACCAATCACCGGTAACATTGCATAAAACTTAAGTTATCGTGGGTAACAATTTGCTAAGTATCAAATTCAAGCATACCTTTAGAGTTATCCTGAATTCAGTAACATGAACGTGCTTTTGTAAAAATGAAACTAATAACGTTTAGACCTACATAAGCCATTTGTAAATTAAATCCAAATTTTCTGCCGGATGCTTTCAGCGACTATTCCACTCTCGTCAGCACTTACTCAATCGATATATGATTAATATTTTAAGAATTTCAGACTAGTCTCGTTTCAAGACATTAGTTATCGTCTTGAGTTTCAGGATTTAACCAATATCTAGGATTAAGGGGTAATATAAGTCTTGTAAGGGAATTATATTAAACCGAGGCTCTAGTTTCTTAATTGGTATCACAGAATACATGTATAATGGGATTTGGTTACAGATAACTTATTAAACCAAAAGATAATCTTATATGATGTGTATAAATCTGACGTTGGGATACAAGGTATACTAAAGTAAATACTGTTTTAATGAGTTATCTCAATATATAACATAACTGTTTATTAAGGAGCGTGAGAAGCAAATAATATGTAATTTTATTAAGATTTTATGAAAGTTTTGACCCCATATTTCTTCTCGTACTCAGAGAAAGTAACACTTTTAATTCTGATGAATTATTGCAATTGGCAGTTATATCAATATAGTAATAATTATCAATATAATTTCATTATATATATAATAATATCAATACAATTACAAGATATGCCAATAAATCAGTGTAATGAAATCAGGTGAATTGAATTTTCTTCAAAATTAATTGCTTTAGGAAATATAAAATAGAAGGATAATCAAAAAATGTAAGATTGAGATGGTAGAGACTAAATAGGTTATCAGTTTAATCGCTTTCACTATGGAATAAATTTTGTTGAGTTTTAAGATATTAATTTATCCGCAAATTTGTAAAACCAAAAGATTTGTTTTTTAATATAAAATATATCTAGAATACAAGTTTAAAAACGATTTTATTAAATTCGTACTTGAAAATTTAAATAAACTCGTTAATTTCTCGTTTTAACTTATCTTAGTATCTGCTGATTTGGGAAATGGCCTTATAATGAATGGATTCTTTGTTTTCAAATGACAACCGTAAATAAACCTTTGCCTACTCTTGGTACATTTTTCTGCGTTATTTTGACTTTTATTTATTTCTTGCAAATTTTAATTCTTTTTTACTTATTTAACATTTCTTATTCAAATAAATACTTTCATCAGGATATAATGACTGCTTTATTCTTTTCTGTTTCATTTATCATTTTACTTCTCTCATTCTTCATTGTTGAGTTATTTATGACTAGTTATCTGTCTTCAGCCTTATTATAGACACTTGAAGAGTCTCATTTGAATAGATATAGGAGACAGCAATGGAGTGGATTAATTTTAAAACATCATACGACAGAAACTTTTTCGCGGAAACAAGAAACGAGAGTAAAATTATATTACAGCATCTACAATTTGCGATGAATCAATAGAAATAAAGTGACAAGCAATTTTGAACTTCAACCCTTGACGGTCAAGATATTGTAGATGGAGGAGTGAAGCAGGGACTTTAAGTCGCAAACCAGGTCTGACTTGATCAGGGACGTCCCGTCACAAGGTGTATTTAATAATATTTCAAGGAATTGTGTAGAGGAACGAGGAATGTGTTCTCTTAAATAGTCTAAGACTATGTTATGTAGTTAGACCTATTAATAATCTATGATTCGCTGTGTCCTGACCCGTCTACATCTTAACGAAACACCCTTAGTAGAATAAATTGTAATGTTCTGTTTTTTAGATAAGGCCATCCGCCTTTTTTATTTCTTATATAAATTGCTACTTTTAAGATTGCAAGTAATCAGTTTTATTGCGAAATCCTGTAGAAGAATCTTTTGTGGATATTTTCGCTTACTCGAATAACCACAACGTCTTCCTTAGTTTAGCTTAGTTCATTCATTCTCTTTTATAATTTAGTAGTTCTTACGCTTTTATTAATTTAGTTAGTTTTAATCCTTTTTTCAGATTCCATTATATTGTTCAGCTTTCTCAAATTCGTCGTGCATAAACCTCCGTAACTAGTGTTTACAGTACAGAAATTCATTTTATAATTCAAATATTTTTGGATGTTTTAGATACAAACCTTTCCTATATGCTTGAAATTCATTTGTCAGTGCTTAGATTACCTTGAATCAACACGCCCATGCTTTATTAATACGGTGCACAGATAAGTTTTCCAGTTTCATGCTTTAATTCCCCCTTACTTATTTTTTTTATTCCGGAAGTTTGTCTTCATGTAATATTATTATTAATACTTTACTTTCCCATTATCAGTTTTCTGAGTTTATTACGTAATATACATATTTTAATATAATTTACTATACATATTCAGGGGAAGAAAGATTAAGTATATCTGTATCTTGTTCCTCGTGGTTTATTTAAAACATATATCAGAACTGTAATTGTGAATCTTTAGAACACAAAGCGTTTTGCTCTATTTTTCTTTATTTGAAAAACATTGTCAAGACACATTTGTTCTTTTTTCTTTGACCAAACATTATTTTTCGATATAATTTCCGTTTCATTACAATCTTATTAGTCATTCTAAATAAATAAAAAAAATCTATAAATTTTTTCAGTTCTTCAGCGAAAATGTTCTATGTCGATGTTCAATTTCTCAATAGTAATAACGTAGAATGTATAGAATGGTTTGTCTTTCTTTTTATTGGGAATTTATTTATACAGATTCTGCTATGAAAAAAATCGAATGCAATTAATATTTATAATAATATTTAATAATATTAATATAAAATCATAATAACAATATATAATACAATTATGTGTATTGGTTCAATTTTGTCGCATAATAAAATTTTGCATTTGATAATGGTTTCCATTTCATAACTTTTGTTGACAAAATCAACTACACAATTAAAACATGAACCTTGTAATCCTTTGTTTAAATATACATATCCGATATGTTTATCACTGTAAGATCATTAGCGTCATTTTCAGCTGCTCTTGAAGGAATAATATTTTTTGTCCTGTCGCATAAATAATTTTTTTAATTCTAAAGGTTTATTGATAGACAATGGTCTCTTTTTGAATTCCCCCATGCTTCAACTGCTCTGTTTAGGGTTTGACTTCTGAGGTTTAATTGTGCTCGATTTTTGTTTTAACCTTGAATTAATTGTCTTTTGAATTTTCTGTTCAATTTTTCTCCGCTCCAAGTTTAAATAAATGTCTTTTAGCCGAATAGGAATGTGCTTTATTCTATGAAAATTCCAAAAGAGAAATAAAAATTTAACACATAATTTAGTTTATACCATTACATTAAGAAGACGTATGTAAATTCTAATTGATACATGAAGCATTCATTATTTGTACCATTAATACAGATAAATGCGTTCTTCATCTCCAGCTTAATTTTGTTCTAAGAAAAATGGAAAGAAATAAATAACTTGGTTTAAGGCGTATGCAATATTTGTCAAAAAATAACTTTAAGCGCCAGTGAAAGCAACTCTTTCTTAAAATGAAATTCATTTTTTTATTAAATTGGGCTTTAATCCTTGAGAATAACTGAGTTCAGCAGCGAATTTTCTCATTTTTTGGAGTAAATTTCTGAAACATTTTCCTCATTCATCACGCATAACTAAGATTAATTTCCAAAATTTTTTAACTTTTTTTATAAGAGGCTGTCTGGTCGCCAGGTAATTCTTTATCAAAGCGACTTTAAATTTATAATTCATAAGGAGAAAAAATATTTAAAGGTGAGTAATTTCTCCATTTTCATACATGCATCATACAATGCACTTTTAGTTATGCAGTGTTTGGCTATGCTATGAAGAAACATTTGTGATCAAACGAAATTAATTCAAGATATGTATGTATTTTTCGTCAGTTATAATTCTGTAAGAAAAATGACATTATTTTTGATAATCCTTTAAATTTGTCAGGCACCATTTTAATTAAACTGATCTTGCTAAAACTCCTGTTTTGTAAAGGCTACGAAATAATTTT